AATATATGTTTTCCCTGTATGTCTGGTAATTCATGGCATAATGTGTACATTGCGTCTCTGTTAATATGATATATCTTAAGTGTTTTCATTCACAAATTGTGTCCATTCATGTTTGTAAATGAAATGTAACATTTATTGTCTTCATTGGAAATGAGCTCAATTATTATCCTTACAGATATTTTGTCAAAGACATTGTGAATTGGCTTTATTATTGGAATTCTCTGACATTACATATTTTGGCCCATTGGCTTGTCCTCTTGGAAAATAATTGGTAGGTATTTTAACTCAAAACAGAAAAAAAAGAAGGATTTGAGAATTGAAATCCTAATTACTTTAGAAGAATTCTTGATTTATCTTTTCTTTCCTCAGTCCTCTTAATTCCATGCTTTACAAGGGGCCTAGAAAGTAAAACAAATCCTATGTTCTGTGGTTCAGAGACTAGCAAAAATTTTGACAATGTCTCTGTAGTGAGCTGAATGGTGGCTCTCTCAAATGATATTTCTACAGTACAGTCCCTAGAATCTGCAAATATTATTGTAGATAGAAAAATATTAGATAAAGATTTTGGAAAAGAGGACTTTATCCTTAATTATTTGGCAGAGCCTTAAATCCAATGGCAAGTGTCCTTATAGAAATGAGGCAGAAGGAGATTTGACAGGTACGAAAGGAAGAAGATGAAGGGATGATGAAGGCACAGAGTAAAATGATGAGGTCACAAGTTCAAGAATGCCAAGGCAGCCCTTAGAAGCTGAAAGAGACAAGGAATTACTTCTCCCCTAGAAAAACAGGCAGCCTGTCCATATTTCAGACTTTCAGCCTCCAGAACTGTGCAAGAATAAATTTCAATGGTCTTAAATGACCAAGTTGTGGTAAGTATTTATTGTAACCTCAGAAAACTAATACAGCCACTAAGACCATAGAACCTTTTGCCCCAGAAGCTCATGAAATTGAACAAGGTGTGGTTCAGAATAGAGCTACTTGAGGAATAGGAGATTAGCTTCCTAAGGGAGAACGTGTGATGTTTTATAGAAGAATGTAGTACTTCCATTCCTGAAGACCTCACCTTACCTTGGGTGATTTGGAGAATGACCTCATAGCTGGTTCTATAGACCTCAGATTGGGGATGAGATCTATTCCCTTGGTTTAATAGGGGTAATTTTGGCTCATGGCTGAGAAGTGGATTTCAAATTCTGACCATAGTGCAGTTTTTGTTTGGTTGTTTGTTTGTTTAGTTTCTGTCTGTTTTGCAATTCTAGATGTGTGCTCTCCCATTACAGCCATTAAACTGTCAGGTACCCAGCAAATGATCATACAGTAGAAAGAGAAGGAAAACCTGACAATAATAATTAGACTTAAACTAATCTTAAATTATTTTAAACCTAGAAGTTGAAACAACTATAGATGGGAACTTGACATACCATTTTGACACCTCAAACAAGGATGATCACACCTTCATATAGTAACAGACTCTCCCTCACCTTAGGCTGAAGAATAACCACAGAAGGGACTAAAAACCAAACTGTGTAGCTTTACACTTAGCCTCTTATACAAATTTAATATCAAAGTAAATTTAAAAATTGTGTACACAACTTATTTAGAAAAGATAATATTGTTTTTTAAATTTTTATTTATTTATTTTTTACATGAGCTCTAATTATTATTGTTGTTGTTGTTATTATTATTATTATCATTTGCATTACAATTCTTAATACACCTTTTTGTGATATACGATATTTTATGAAACAAAACTGCCCTTAGAAATGTGAGCATGGTGGTGCATGCCTTAATCCTGGCTACTCAGGAGGCTGAAGCAGGAGCATCACAAGTTTGAGGCCAGCCTCAGCAACTTAGTGAGAACTTGTCCCAAAATAAAGAATAAAAGGGATTGTGGTTGTAGTTAAGTGGTAAAGCACCCCTGGGTTCAATCCCCAGTATTACACACACACACACACACACACACACACACTCACGATGGGGGGTCGTGTTAACATACTAGTGACTGGCCAGTGTTGATCTTGGGCTTCAGCATGCTTGTAAGGAGATTTTGTGAGGATTCCACTTTCCCTTTCCTTTTTTCACACTACTGCAAACATTCATTCATGTAGCAATCCATGAAGTATAAGGTTCACTTCATTTATTTTCTCACTAGCTCATGGCAATCAAAGTAGTATTACCTTGTGTGAATTTGATTGTGAAAACAGACTCAAATACATCCTAATTATGTGGTAGCAATTATCATGTGCTCATCCAGATACTCCTGAATATGCTTAAAATTAAATGCAGAAGTAAAACATGCTTGTAGAAAATATGCAGACTATCATTAGATTCCAGCCTGAGATGCACCCACCTCTCAGAGTATGTATAAAAAATACACATAATTTGCTGGGCATGGTGGTGCACTCCCATAATCCCAGCGACTCAGGAGGCTAAGGCAGAAGGATTGCAATTTCCAGCCAGTCAGAGCAACTTGGCAAGGCCTTGTCTCAAAAATTAAAAAAATAAAAAAGTCTGGGGATGTAGCTTAGTAGTAGAGCCCCCAGGTTCAATCCCCAGTACAAACATCTTACCTGAGTACCTAATGTTATCCTGAAGCACTTGACTCTTGTTCCATTTGGACAATCGAATATCTTTGTTTTTGGGGAATAAGCCATGACCCATTTGGCTTCACTAGCCCCAGACCCCTGGGGATTGGTACACTGAGAATCATAGGTTAAACCCTAACCATCCTCACTTCCACAAGTTTTAAATTGGTTGGCATCCTGAGGTGTTAATGAATGATTGATTTTGAAATTCACATTCCCAATACAACATACCTGCAATCTAGATGAAAGAAAATGGTCATGCTCCACAGTTAGGTAACCAAATAACTGAAGCAAGACAGTATATCTGCTGGTTCTTCACCCTGGGATTCAACCACTGTGAGTAGAAGATATTTGAAAACAAAAATGTATCTGTACAAACATACACAGGTTTTTCTCATCATTATTCCCCAAATAATACAGTATAACAACTATGATAAGTAATCTGGAGATTGTTTAAAGTATATAGGATGATGTGCACAAATTATATGTAAATATTATGCCATTTTATTTTATTTTTAGTCATTGATGGACCTTATTTATTTATTTAGATGTGGTGCTGAGAATTGAATCCAGTGTCTCACACATTCCAGGAAAATGCTCTACTACTGAACCGCAACCCCAGCCCCTCTGCCATTTTATTTTATTTTTGGTAGTGGGAATTACATTCAGGGATCACTGAGCCACATCCCCAGCCCTATTTTGTATTTTATTAAAAAACAGGATCTCACCGAGTTGCTTAGGAACTCACTTTTGCTGAGGCTGGCTTTGAACTAGCAATCCTCCTGCCTCAGCCTCCCAAGCCTCTGGGATTACAGGTGTTCCTGGCAATATTCTGCCATTTTATACAAGGGACTTGAGCATCCATGGATTTTCCTGTCTTTGGGGGTCCTGGATCAATACTCTGCAGATACCCAGGGACGACTACATATAAATTTTTAGAAGTGTTTGGGGGAGTTGTTTTCATTATATTATATTGGTAGGACAAGGCACAGAGTGTGCCTATTTGTGTGACAGTTTTTCCCTTATGTTGTCCTCTTTCTTTTCTTGCTCTTGTGTTCCTTCATCTTTCCCCTTCTACTTTAGTTCCTTACTTCCCTCTAGGATCAATGTAATGAATTTTTCCATAAAGCTAATATATTTAATGTAACTAATTATTTTTATTATTATATTACATGCCTTATAATATTATGTCTTATAATTTTATATGGAAATAAATGCTAGCTGGGAGCACACCTTCATCCCAACAACTAGAGAACTGAGTCAGGAGGACCACAAGTTTGAGGCTAGCTTCTGCAATATAGTGAGACCCTCAGAAACTTAGGGATACTCTGTCTCAAAAAAAAAAAAGGATTGGAGATGTAGCTCAATGGTAAAGCACCTCTGGATTCAGTCTCTTGTGCCAAAGGAGAAGAGGAGTGGGGGAGGAGGGGAGGAAAGCTTCCTTTTATAAATAGTAGTGGGTTGTTTTTAAAAGTGTCTTCATTTGACAAAATAAGAAATTGGCAATGTTGGGTTTTCCTCTAAATATTTTGTGCATACAACATCTGGAACCACTTGTCTAGAGAATCGAGCAAAGAGAAGTGATAGCAGGAAAGAACAGTGAAATTTAGTAAATTGAGTTAAGTTGAATCAGTTCCATAACATACTTGCAACGCGGGAGGGGGGCCTGCGGGAAGTAATAGCGGGAGTGTGTGTCTCCTTTGGGAGTCTGGGAAGGCTTCACCGAGGAGGTAGCTTTTGAGCCGGGCTTTAAGGATCAGCAGGGAAGAAATGGCAGGGCATTCCAAGCAGAGTGCATAATGCGAGCAAAAGCACAGAGCACAAAAGAAGCACTACGTGTCCAGCAGTTCTGAGTAGCCTGGTAGCTGGAGCGTAGGGTTCTTGAAGCGAGGTGATTAAGGGTGAGGCAGGGACTATTTTTTTTCTACTTGGCGTTTTTCTCCTACAGCTCTTTGCACAGTGCTGGTCACACACGCTACAGGAGCTCAATAAATACTTGTTGAATTGAGACAGGATGATCGAGTACGCTGGGAACAAGGACATATGAATCCTTTCTCACGCACCCGCGGTGTGACCTTGGCCAAGTCTCTTTCCTCAGGGCTGCAGTTGCTGCTTAGGTGCGAGTGGGAAAGTGGAGGAGGAGGCTGGTTTGAGTCAGTCCTTCCAAAGCCCTGAATCCCTGATTCGACGCGTCGGGCGGGGCGGGCCACGCGGGGCTGTGGCCCGCGGAGGTTCAGTTGCTCCTCCGCTCCAGCAGGGGGCAAGGGGAGCGGCTTCCCGCCGCTCTTCCTATACTGGACGGCGTCTGGCCGACTGCAGCAGTCGCAAGCTGCGAGCGCAGTGGGCGGGGCCGCCCAAGCGGGGCGGTGGCGCTGAGCTGACTGGCTGGGCGGGGTAGTGGCAGTGGCAGCGGCAGCGGCAGCGGCTGAGGCTGAGGCTGCGGCTGCAGAGGCCACTGGGGCGCCGACTGGGTGGCCGGCGACCCTCTCTGCCCTCGTGCAGCCTCTTCACACAGACCCGCACTCCCCGGGCAGCGGGGACCTCGGTGCTCAGCCCGCCAGCGAGCTGCGGTGGGCACACCCTGGAGCTGCGGTGACAGCGGACAGGTTAGAGTGGGGGCAGGGGAGGGCGTGGGAACAGCCCAGGGCCAGAGAAGGAGTCCAAGCCGGACAATCTCCAGCCATGTCCGACGAGGCGTCAGCCACCACTTCCTACGAGAAGTTCCTAACCCCGGAGGAGCCCTTCCCGCTCCTGGGACCCCCTCGCGGGGTGGGCACCTGCCCCAGCGAGGAGCCAGGCTGCCTGGACATCAGCGACTTTGGCTGCCAGCTGTCCTCCTGCCATCGCACCGACCCGCTCCACCGCTTCCATACCAACAGGTATGAGCCGCCTCCGAGGGCAGCGGTGGACTTCCCACATCGCTGCCTATTGCTGGAGAACGCGGGGTCGCGCCCCAGCCGCGTTTCAGGTCCTTTGCCTGAGGCTGAGCTTCCAATGGCCTCCTCCCCCACCTTCCTTCGACCAGCGCTCATTCCCGGGCTCTTTCCCTCCTCCCCCTCCTCCCCCTCCCCCCCCCCCCCCCCCCCCCCCC